GAGGAACCTCCTGAAGTTCAACAAAGGCAAGTGCAGGGTCCTGCACCTGGGGAGGAATAACCCCATGCAGCAATACAGGCTGGGGGCTGACCTGCTGGAAAGCGGCTCTGCCGAGAAGGACTTGGGAGTGCTGGTGGACAACAAGCTGACCATAAGCCAGCAGCGTGCCCTTGTGGCCAAGAAGGCCAATGGTCTCCTGGGGTGCGTTAGGGGAGAGTGTTGCCAGCAGGTGGAGGGAGGTGATGCTGCCCCTCTCCTCAGCCCTGGGGAGGCCTCACCTGGAGTACTGTGTCCAGTTCTGGGCTCCCCAGTGCAAGAGAGACATGGCACTCCTGGAGGGAGTCCAGCGGAGGGCTACAAAGATGATGAGGGGACTGGAGCATCTCTCCTGTGAAGAAAGACTGCGAGAGCTGGGCCTGTTCAGCCTGGAGAAGAGAAGACTGAGAGGGGATCTCATCAACGTGTACAAGTATCTGAAGGGAGGGTGTCAAGAGGGTGGGGCCAGACTCTTCTCCCTAGTGCCCAGCAACAGGACGAGAGGCAACAGGCACAAACTGAAGCACAGGCAGTTCCATCTGAACAGGAGGAGAAACTTCTTTCCTGTGAGGGTGACAGAGCACTGGAAGAGCTCAGAGAGGTAGTGGAGTCTTCTTCGCTGGAGCTACTCAAAACCTGCCTGAATGCGATCCTGTGCAATGTGCTCGAGAGGACCCTTCTTGATCAGGGTGGTTGTGCTAGATGATCTCCAGAGGTCCCTTCCAACCTAAATCATTTTGTGAATCTGGGAAAAGCACCAGAGGTGAAAAGGGAGTGGGAACTTTTTTTTTTTTTTTGGTTTTTGGATTTTTTGGTTTTGTCATGAGTGTCTAACCAGTTTGGGAAGGATGAAGATGAAGGACTACAATGTCAACAACTGTATATCTCACGTGATTAGAGAGGGCAAGTGACACCTCCTAGAGATGTATTTTCAGTAGCTGCATTTGAAGGTGAATTTTAAACTGAAGACAATTTTATACAGATTGGGGGCCAACAGATACCTGAGAAAATATTGACGGCAAAAGGTGGACACAACCAACTTTTTTTTAGCGTGGGTTTTTCTCATGAAATCTGATTCTGAACTAAGCAGAATGGAGACACTTGACTTGTGTCTTCTCAGCACTGTAAATGGAGATTATGGAGTAACAGAGTAGTGAGAGATTGTAATGAAAGCAACACAGAATATTACTAGAATCATTGGGATAACAGAATTCCTTTTAATTGGACACTCACTGTGTACTTTTTAAGCATCTCTTTTTAACCATTTTTTTCAAGTATTGGCCCTTTCTTTGCTTGCAGTTACAGTACTTTTCCAGAAATTTTCTGTGATGAATAAAGCTTACCAGTAAAGAAGCTGATGATGAAATGCAGAAGAGTTCACATCTTCAGAAATCCCGTAGAACTGATGTTAAAGGAAATAAGCATGAAGTCAGTAGTCAGTTTTGGAAGACAGTCTTGGAGAGATGTCTAAACAGTCCAGTATTGACAGTTAGCAGTGGCCTTCAAGAAAACCTTTGAAGAAAAATTTCATTCTGTGTCCTGTTCTAGCAGTCACGACTATGTGGACCTGCTGCTATTGCTATTTCTGAAAAGTAGTAGTGCTTGTGTATGTTCAGGACTTCGAATCCTTTTTCAAATCCTGAGGGATACTGCAAGTCTGTCTAGGGTCCTTGTTTTACCTCAGGGTGGTCCAATAAAATATTTAAATATGTATTTTAAATAGGTCGCATAAGAACAATTGCTCAATCCTATCATGCTGAAGTCACATTTTGCTCTTCCTGTAATGATCTCTTTTGTCTTGTGCGCTGCTTAAGCTTGTCATCCTTCTAGAGTTCAGAGTTTTATCTATACCTAGTTGTTTACGTGACATGTGCCTAAGAACTTCCTTTTTAGCTTCAGGATTAGAATTATCACCACAAAAAAAAAAAAAAAAAAAAAAAAAAAAAATCTGATGCTGGATGTTGGGGCATTAGTGCCCGTATTTTGATTTTTCAGCAGTGCTTTTGGTCTTTTTTTTAATGTGTGGAGTTTGGCTAGGTCATCTGACATCTGAACTCTGACTTGCAGGCCACACACTTTTTTGATTGTGTACAATCATATCACATTCAATGTTCCAGAATAAGATAATGTCTAATTAGGTGCCTAAGTAGTTGGAAGCAGTTGCTTCCCTGAAAATGTTGTCTGGACTAAGTTATGAAGCGTTGTTGCATTAAATGCAGCAGTTGAGAAAACTTTTCAAGATGTATCATTACTAACAAAATATTCTTCCACGTTTACAATTTGAAAAATGTTCTCACTTTGTCCAAAATTTGAAAAGCTAATGCTTAAAAAAAAGTACCGGGAAAGAGATGTTAAATTGTGTTATACTACCTAAATATAGTATGCTGGGAAGCCCAGGCAATGAATAACCACTGTCCTAAGGCATGCTTCATGTTTCATTAGCTTCTTCTGTATCATGTGGCAAAAGCATATGGGCTGCTTGGATCTTAGGTATAAGAAGCAGGAGAGCGCAGTTATTGATTGTGGAGTCTTTTTTTTTAACCTTCTTCCGTGAACCTTGTTCTTGTAAAGATCGTGTCATGACCACTTTGAGGTTTGTGTAGTGCTCTGTTACTATGCAGTTGTCTGAAAGCCTGGAAGGCAGTCTTCTGGGAGCAGATGTGTCGGTTACACTTTCTCTCTCAGGTGCCATTCAGTATATCTAATGCCTGCCCTTGGTTGTTACATATGAAGAACTGATACCTTCCCCTTGTCCTCTCTTTTTCTTTTGACAGAGTCTGCATGTATTTTATCTGACAAACCAGTTCACTCGCAGAACAACAGAGCTGAGATTGGCCTTTTGGAAAGGGGGATATTCTCCTACCTACCCCTTAAGCAGTCATCTTTTGTCTTCCGCTTTGACCTCTGTTTGTCTCCTAACCCCTCTCAGAATGGTGCAATGAGAGAGATGCTCTATGTAAGGCTGTTGTTTCTGTAACTTGTCAACAGACAAAAAGGAGATTTAGCAGTATTTCTAGAGTAAAATAGGATTGTGCTGATTTTATTCAGATGTATCTGACCCATGGAATTCTTGGGAGCTGAGAGAATATGCCAGAGAAGTGTCACTATGCCCTTCCCATAGGCGAACGCCACTTGAAGGTCCTGGGCACACTAGGACATATTGGCTGGGAATAGGAGCCTGAGAGCGGGCAACTAAAGTGAGTCTTAGCTGTGTATAAATACACCTATTTACACTGAACGTGAAATTTGACATATAATATTTAATGATACGCATGCTGCTAATGGCACTAGGAGCACTCCCACTATATCCATTTTTTTCACTTCATTACATAACCTGGCAGATGTTAATTGCAACTTAAAGCTCATGTGATTTTTGTTTCCCTCATAATTAAAGTAGAACAAAGACCTATGATATTAATGTCTGAAGATGAACGTGTTGCCTGACGTTGAAGAAACTTTTTCAGACATTACTCACTTGGGCTCAGGGATTTATTAGTCATGGTAATGCCTCCAATTAGTTGAAGGACAGAGAGCATAGCTAGGGCACTTTGTGTCTAACTGCTGTTAACTGTATACTTGGAGTTATTATTGACGGAGGTTAGATGAAGCCTTATAACAACAACTGTGTTAAGAAGTGAGGTCTCTCTTTCTTGCTTGTAAAATCACTGAAATTAGGATTAACATCTACAACAGTAGCACTGTGCCCTGGAATGTATTTTTTTAATATTTGATGTCATATTTTTGCTCTGAATCATTCTCTCTCCAAATATTGTGAAAAAGATCAACAGAGTGAATTGTGCTGAATTATCTGTTATATCTCGCAGAAAATGGAGAGAGAATCGAATATTATGTCCTGTGTATAGTGAAATAACTTTTAGATAAAGTTGGAAAGAGAAAGAATCCCCCCTTAAGTAAGTTTGCCTTTCTTTTTGGGCTGTGAGAGGGGCAAGTACTAATGTTAAAGAAAGTGAGGTTGGAGTTAATTGGAATTAATCTTCATAGGTTTGCAAGATTTGTACTTCTTTGCAGTTGAAATAAAGGAGTTCAGCCTGAGTTACTGCCTCTGCTGAACATTTGAAATGTAGACCTGAACTTAAAAAAATTCCATTCTGAGACAAAACATAAAATGTTGTCTTCTCTCTTTCCTTCTGTCCTGTTCCAAAGCCCTGGGGAAAAAGCTGGACTTTGCAACGTGACTTGAGGGGAACAGAGACTCAGGATAAAGGTGAACAATTCTGGACCATCTTGTTTTCCAGACTGAATGTTTCTTTAAATAATATAGGCTGGGAACCTCAGTTAGATCCTGGTAGCACCATATCAACTGATCCTGCTGATAGACTGTGTAATTCTAATGGAATTTCTGCCTTTGAAACAGTGTGGTTCAAACCTGTTCATGACAAAATGACAAAAATCAGCTCTGGATTTCTAGAAATGAATATGTATCCACTGTCTGTCCTGTTGCATTCATGTTTAGGTGCTCTGTGTTTGGTGAGTAACTTGCCCTACCTGATACAGTTGTGTCATGATTTCCTGTCACTATTAACCCTCCCAAAACTTCTGGATTAAGAATTCAAGTTGATGAGTGTTACGTGCACTGCTTCGTTGCAGGGCATATAGAAAGCGTTCTATATAATCTGCTCACTTCCTTTTTCCAGCCAGCATAATTTCTGTCTTATCTTGATTGTGTGTCTGAATGTGATTTGCCATGACTTACGAATAAAAAATGCAGAACTGGGTGCTGTCAGCATTGCAAAGACGTAATAATTTTTATTCCTTGTTCAGTGGTCTTGCGCACGTTTTAAGCAAGAGTTAAGATGATGGTACTCTAGGGTAGCAGGATGGGTTAATCACAGTCAGTCATTGCTGAAAAAGCCAGTAAGATAGGAACAGAAAGAAGTGAGAGTAGCCCCTTCCACAGTGAGAGTGCGATATTCCAGTTCCTTCAAATTTGGTTATATTGATTTCCAATTTGTATTGGTTCCTCTGCTAGTTTAACTGAAGGATGAGTGAGTCACAAGATCTTGTTAACCAAGTGTACTTGTATGGATTTAGATACTTCCTCTAAATTAGTGTAATTTCTCTGTATTTCTTTTTTTTAACAGCTGTCACTGCTTTTGGCATATAATATTTTCTAAATAAAATTGAGTAGTTCCTTCTTAGTAGTAGGAAAAATGTTTTCAACCCAGTCTCTTGTCAGATGCTTAAAAAAATGTGGTTTCCAAACAAAACAAAACAGAACAAAGTCCCATCACTGAATTTATTTAGAAGTGACTGGAAAAGCTGTAGGATGGAATTTTTCTCTGTACCCTTTCCCTGCCGCAGCCCCCCGTTACTGCATTATTAATAGATGAAGACATTAATAGCTTACAGAAAGCTGTGTACCTACCTGTAATTCAGAGTTTTGAAGCTAGATGAGTAGAGGTTTCCCATTAGGCAGGACAGGAAGTGAAAATCTGGAACTTTTTTTGGTTTAAATTTCAAGCATATTTAAATATTCTAATTAGTGGAAGAGAGAGAAGCATTATGGAGCAAAAAAAGTTTGGCATCAAAATATGGTGAATATTTGGAAAAAGGTGATCAGTAAAGATGTTGTTACCATGAGGACAGTGAAGCAGTGAAGTACGTTACGGAAAGAGGTTTTGCAGGCTCCATCCTTGGAGGTTTTCAGGACCCAGGTGGATAAAGAGCAGCTGGGTCTGATCTCACAGCTGCCCCTGCTTGAGCAGGAGGTTGGACAAGAGACCTCCTGAGGTCCCTTCCAACCAACCTGAATTATCCTGTGAATCTACTACAAATAAATTGATGAAGAACTGTTTAAGCTGGCAGGATATGCTAGTGACTGTGTGTGATGGTACTGTGGTTGTACCTCCTTTGGAGTTGGGGTGGATGTGGACCTTTGACGTGACCTCTTATCATTTTCATTGCTGGCTAGATCTAGACAGCTCTTAATAATGATATGAAAAGAGCACTGAAAGGGGACGTAATTGTGCGCTCCTCACTTTAAATTCTCTGCAAATAATTGTGCTGCTCCTGAGATTCAGGTGCCCTGGATCTGTGCAGCACTTTGGTGGTTTCAGCATACTTTCTGCTGTTTATAGCATGGAGGCCTAAAAGGAGAAGAAGAAGAGGTCAGTTTTGTTGCGGTCATGTCTCTTTTCTTAGAGGTTTGTTTATAAATTCAGTTTTACTCTTCATTATCTTAACCCCCCAGGGAAGGGTTGGGAGAGCCTCTGCATTCTTAATAAGCTAACTTCTATAATAATAAGGCGATATAATTACAAGCAGGCCAAAAAAAAAAGGCAGCGTAGTAACAGAACATGAAAGGGAGAGCAGTAGGTAGCTTTGAGGGAAAGAATGTGCATTTACAAAACTTCACTTCTTGCTTCTTTTAGTGCTTCCATTAGTTGAATCCTGCTAAATGGGAAATATTAAATACTTAGTGCCTGACATTTCTATAATGTCTGTGTAAGTGCTGTAGAGATACTAAGTCTTATACAGTGCATTTCCATTTAAAAGAATGAAAGCACTTTTCCAACTGTTACAGGGGAAGCTGTCAGTGAACCTTGTATTTAGACTGCATATTACTTTCAGCTATAATAGACTCCTGTGACTTGTTTGCAGCAAGCGAAGTATGAAAGTCCTGGTTTCCAAACAGTGCTCTTTGGAAACCTCTTGAACTGTGGGAAGTTCCCTATTAGGCTCCCAAATTAAGCTGGTGTATGAAAACCCCTGAACAGTCTCCGCAGCCATGATAGCCCTGAGTTTCAGTGAGACTTACTAGTGTTATTTGAAAAGTGATGCAAGGTTTTATGCCTACAGGCTGTTTGCACAAAGGACCAAAATAAAAATTAGGCATGCCTATTCCTTCTCTGTCATTTCTTGACATTTTTTGTCCTTTTCCCATGAAGGCATAACGTTGTCTGTGCGTGGAACTCCCTTGTGGTGTTTGTTCTTATAAGAAATTTGCTGAAAAATTCCCCTCTTAGTCTTGAGGACTGTGTAAGTCTGTGTAATTTAGAAGCTCTTCAAAATCTCTAACAATATAACAATAACATTTTTTGGTTTGGTATGCAATGTAAGTTGGAATAAGGATAGTAATTTTAGTTCCTTTCTTTTCCTGGAATGTCTACACTTATGCTAACATTGAAACTGATTTCCGTGAATTCCGTGTGCTCTATAGTAATTGCTGGGTAGTCTCCATTTGTGAAGATACGTCGTATGACTGTCAGAGTTACTGCTATCAGTTTGATGCACTTTGCTTGACTTGAAGCCCATAGCAGTTCCCTGAAATACGCTGGATGAGTAATATAGATTGCAAACTTTAGCACTGGAGGAATGTTTAAGTCCACACTCATTTGATTCAAATGGAGAGAAAACTATTGCTAGACATTCTTTGACCTTTAGGTGATCATGTGAGCGAATCCACAGACACAACCCACCTATTACCATTTTTCTAATGACTTAGTGTAAAAAAATAAAAAGTAGTAAATGAACTGTGTATTGCTGCTTATCGAATTAAAAGGCAATAAAGGAATGTAATTGCTTTCATTGTGCATTTATTCCATCTTGATAAAATAGGTAGGAAACAAATAATCATAACGGAAATGAGTGGTACAGCACTTTAACATACTGTATGCATGCAGATACATTATTGAAACACAACTTCATCTCCCAACTATGAATGCTTAATCTGAAAGTAATATTTGTTTTCTTAAAATTTCAATGGAATTAAGTGAGTAGGGGTGAGATATCTTTTATATAATAGTTTAAACAGAGGCTACAATCAGAGAAATTCTGTTGATGTTCTTGAAGCCAGGAGATGTCCATTACCATAATTAAACATCTCTTAGAAATACTCGTACCATGTTTTGAAAATGGATGAAAGGCCTGGGAATTGGTGTTTCAGAAAAAGGAAAAGGCTGACAGTACAAAGATCTGTGCTGTTGCTTTTAGTTTGACTCATGACTTGAGTTTTTCTGTACTTATAATGGGTTAATGCTTCTCCTTATGTATTTGTTAGCTTGCACTCTCTGCAGACATAAAAACAAAAGGTTGGTGTTTTAAATAAGGGGCTGCCTCTTTTGGTTGGCCCCAGGATACGTTTGGATATTTATGAAATGACTTAAATAGTGTTCAATATTTTATCAGTTACATCTTCACACATCTATTTCCCTATTTAATTCTAACCTTAATTTCTTTTATTTAACCACAATTAGAGCTGATAAAGCAGATGATGAAGATGATGAAGATCTAACTGTGAATAAAACATGGGTCCTTGCGCCAAAGATTCATGGTGGGGATGTGACTCATATACTGGACTCCTTACTTCAAGGATATGACAATAAACTTCGGCCAGATATTGGGGGTAAGTCCTTAAAATAATTCAGTAAATAGAAGACGTGAACCAGAGGTAACCTGAGTTTCGTCAAAAGTGGGGAAAATCTGTTTAGTAGCATTTTAAAAATGAGTGTATCAAGCTAGATTTAACAGAAATAAAATGCAACAGTTTTCTAGAACTAGTGAAAAATAATATTCTGTGCATGAATGTTCCTTATCTTGTACTTGCAATCTCCTAATGTTATGTAAAGTGTTGAATTTTTTGGAGTAGTGAGCAATATGTAGTAAGTCATTGAAAGCAATTATATTTTGCTTTGTTACTTTAAGATCTGACAGAAATAATTCTAGATATAAACCAATCAAGGTCAGTCAAAAATTTGATCCTGGATCTGTTGAAATTCATTAAAATATTACCACTAGACATTTTTGTTCTTGCTGTAGAAAATAAATTGTAAGTGCGTGTTATGATCCGATTTAGCTTCATCCAGCAATCTCCTTCCCTTACCTCAGATTTTGAAAAACTATGCAAGCAAACATTTAAAAAGATAACTGAGGACTGTATCTTTTCTAGAGGAATATAGCAAGGGTGTTACTGTAGATCAAAGTTTTCAGCCAGTTGGAAAGCAGTTTTGTCTTTCAATAGTGAAAGCATCAGTCTGAGTATAACTATTAAATGTATATATTATTTGTAAGAGTCTTGCTTTGAAAGCATGGAGTTCATGAAAACTTGGCCAACTGTTGAGTACCATATGCATTGTGGATCAAACTAGGAAAATAATTTATTCTCTCTATTTTCTGAACTGTGAAGGGAGAGGTGGAGGACATAATTGTTTCTTAAATACTTGACATTCTCTAGCAAAGAAAGGCAATGTAAGGCCATAAGCTGCTTATACGATAAACAATACTACAATCTACACTTGTCTTTCATCTATGTAGGAGAACAGAGAGATACAATCTCATACTAAGTATTTTTTTTACAAAGCTTCTGACAAATTGTTTTCTCCCCCAAATTTCTTAGTTCTGTTTTGCTGTTGACTGTTGCCTTGAAGATGTTGAATGGCAATTTTGCTCTCCCTGTCGTAACAGAGTCTCATGCAACTCCCATGAAGTTTGTCATGAGTCTTTGCCTTTAGATTCTGAATTATTGTGATCATATAGACAGCAAAAAGGGTCTTCCAGCATCTTTTCCCTTAAATTCTCCATACGTGACAGATGTATACCATTCCTCTTTTTCAGGCTACCTGATACAACAGACAGCTAAGGGATTATGAGGGAATAAACTGGCTCCACTAATGATTAGCTGCTAGGTGGGGATGAGAGAGAAGACAATTTTGTTTCTTCTCTCTCACTGTAAAGCTTAGAAATAAAGAAAGGGAAAACAGGGAAGAAGAGTTCCTTCTGACGTATAAAGTGGATTTAGAGGGGCACCGAACAATTTTACTTTAATTTTCTGGTTTTGTTGGAAATTCCTTCTGTGTTTTATGCACTGAGTCTTGATCATGCAAGAACTTTGCCTTTTTGTGAGTAACTCAGTCTACAGCTTTCTAGATTCTGCGGTTCAAGGATCAGTTTCTGAAAGTAGATGCTTTCCCCCCATCTCCCCTTCACTCCTCAATGCCTTACTTTTTTACTCATCTGGCCTTTGCTATCTGGTTCTGCCTCCATCCAACGTATTAGAACATAAGGTGTGTGCATATCATCCAGAACGATGAGAACAGGAGACGTTAGGGGATATTCACTTTGTGACCAGGAGAATAATTATTAAGACTGAGTCTCTGCTGGGTGGACAGGAAGTTGCAGACACGGGTTCCACAGGGCAGAAATTTCAGACCACATAAGAGTAACTCTCCAGCTTCAAATTCAGGTGTCACATTCAGTCCAGCTGCTCAGGAAATGCAGCAGGTACTTTATGAATGGAGAAACAATATCAGGCTGTAGTGCATTCATCTTGATCTGCTTGGATTATGTGGATAAAATCTGGTGTCATTTTCCATGTCCTCTCAGTATATGTCAGTACTTGTACAACAAGGTTATTAAACTAGGATTATAATTAGCTTTCAAAGTAATAGTATCCCATAGAATGTGTTTTTGCTGGTGAATTACAAAGCTCAGTTATAATAGCAACATTTTTGTTTTTGAACCTGGACTTCATGGATTTGAATACCAGAGCATAATTTGTTCTCTTCCCGATGTTGACACAGAGTTTCAGCATCTCAAAGTAAGAACACATGTGTCATTGTTAAACCTGCTGTTATTTGATGGAGATGATAAAGAAGTCTTCTTTCCTCTTTTTCTGGTAACTGGCCAAATGAAAGTTGAGAGGTCAGTGGCAATACTGAAATCTAATAGGAGAAAACCACATTGTGTCATTTTGTGTGTCTCGTTCAAATATTCATGAGTTTCACTGATTCCTTAATTGGTACCCCTTGCTATGTTCATTAAACTTATTAGTCTTTAACTCATTATATGTAATGTACTCTGAGATGCTTGGAGCATAAAGGCAGTATTATTAAAGTACATTCTGCTCCGTACAAAATATTACTAGTTACCATCTGGAGTCTCTTATCTGTAGTATAATCCTTTTAAATACAGATATAACCTTGTGGAGTGTTGATATATTGTTAAAATGGTATTATGGTCACTGTGAGGTTACCTTTTTGTTTCCTGAGTTTGTAAGGGCCACACTGTTTTAATTTCAGTCTTGAATCAAACAAATTGCCATTTCTAAATTTTACCTTTTAAAGGAAAGAATTCTGACTGTTTGTTATTCCATCCCTCACAACTTAGGATAGCTAATATAATTAATACCAGTCTATCTATTTACAGCACATGCTTTGTTCAGACATGGCTCATGTCCAATTTTATGTATTATATAGGTGAAAACACAACTGATTAATTAAAAAGTTTAGTTAGAAATAGGGAATCATCATCACATATCCACACTTCTAATAGAGTATACAAGCAATTTCACAGTTTTTTTCAATCGACAATTTGAGGAAAGTCATCACTGATAGAATTTTTAAGAATTTGGAGGAGAGGATATTAAAGAATGAAGATGATACTCATGAACATAGAGAAATTTCTGCCTAGAGAAGTTTGGATAGTTGTAATTGCCATCTAAGCAGAGTATGGGTAGATAATTGCATCTCAGTGCACTAATGTGAAAAGTGATGTGCCCAGGGACATACAGGTGGTATTAATAAAGAGTGGACTTTAAAGAGATTGATAGAAGCTCTAACACTGAAAAGGAAGGATGTTAGATGATATTCTGTTGAACAGGTGCTCTTTGGATTGACAAAGGGCTGATTTGATTCCTAGGCAAACAGGAGAATATCAGGTAGATAGGTATATGTATTACTAAAGAATATTTCACATGAAATGAAGGAAATTAAAATACAAGAGCAACATATGTAAGAGCTTGTGTAGTGGATGTTAAAGGTAATGGGGTGTGTGCACTACACAGGAAAAGATAGAAATAGTAAGTAGTGGGGTTTGGAGTATTTGCTAAAGATTAATTTCCCTTAAATAAAAGAGTAGGAGAAGAAGAGTGGAGAGCACGGCATTTGTTTTCAGCAAAATGCTGAAAAAATTCTGTGGGGATGGAGCTGGAAGCTTGTAGACAGTTGAGGCTGAATTTTGATATTACTTTGATACCCGTATGTAGGTAATACTGTTAGATAACTGGTTGTGGGGATTGTATTCTTAGCTACTATTGCAAAGGTCTCTGTTATTTCTGCATGGGGTAGTTGCCTAATTTACTTGCTGAATACCTACTTTATCACTCAGGAGAAATACTCCTTTATGCTTCTTTTGGCAATTAATGAGGCAAGTAATGAGGATTTATAGAATATTTGCTCAAAGAAAATAAGCTTGGATTAAATTATCAGAAGTGGTTTCAGTTTAAATTAAACAGCATGATAAATAAAAAGAGATGTTATGTCTTAAACCTTCTATTCCAAAATGGACAATTTTGGTAAAGTAAGGGAACTAGTTAGTGGATTTAGATGGATTAACAAACTACTGGATAATTTGAGGATTGGAGTAGTGAAAATGGAACAATATTCATCCATAAAAAGTACAATGTTCTGCACTTTTGAACGAATAATAATAGTTTCTGTCAAGAGGTGGGTTCTTATAAATTGAAAACAAATAGATGAGGAGAGCTCTTCAACCTATCAGGCAGGGATATTTCAAAGATCAAAAGCTGAAAATTAGGCTCGGATAAATACAGGCTAAAAGGAGACACTTTGGGTAGCGACAGCAATTGCTAAAATAATTTGTCAGTGACAGCTGAATTTTTATCACTATGATTTTTCTAATCTAGAGTTAACTTTTTTCAAAATAAAGGTTTTGAACACGAAATAGGGATTCAAAATATGTCCAAAGTATGGGCAACTGGGGGTTACCCGGCATCGTTGCTACCCATCCACTCCTCATCCCTTGCTAGATGGATACCTGTCTATGCCTACCAGGAGAGACTTCTTTCTGCATCTTGGTCGTTGGTGGGAAGTTCAGCCTCGCTCTTGAATTCCAGGCACAAGGACTGCTAATTTGCAAGGCCTGTTTCTTGGGACTAGCTCCTCCTTATCTATGTGCTTGTGTTAGGTCATGCATTATACCAGCTGATTTTTTTAAAGATGAGCAGTTTAGTCTTAGCAAGAGACTAAAAGGAGGCAAAGCAGGAAACCAGAAAGTGCAAATGCTTTTATTTCTAGATTGCACTTAGCAATCTCTCACCTTCCCGATTTACTCTAGCCTTGCACATATTGTGTCTCAGTGTAAATATTAAGTGTCTATCTCTTTCTCTCCTTCTCTTTTAGAAGCTTCTGTAAGTTTATGGTACTGCTTTGTGCTTTACTCAGCTCATGTGTTAAATAGCCTTTCTCCTACTTAAAATGTTTTCATGGCTGTTACTACACTTTAAATATGAAATGAGAAGCATTAATTGTGGAAGCATCTTCTCAGACTGTCTTTCACTATTAGCTCTTTGTGGACAGTAAATGAGGAATAGTAATTATATGGATGACATATTAGTATCGAGAATATATTTCCTCCACCTTTTGTCATTTCCATGGACTCGAATCATTTCTAGTTGAAGAACACTAGTAGAATCAGTTCGTTCTTCTAATTCACACAAGTATTAGGGTCTGCACTATACAGAAGAACTAAGGTAAGACAGCAGCCCCTTCCAATCTTAAGATTTGTTTCTCATTTGGGTTAATTAAAATAACAATTTCAACAGAGCCATATTTTTCACACTCTTCACTGACTCTTAATAGCCCTAATAGTCTTACTCTTAACAGTATAAAAAAGGCAAATTGAAATCTGTGGCACATTAGAGGAGAGCCCTTGTGGCAGATCAAGTACTGTTCATTGCAAGCTGGAACTGTATAAAGCTGACACAGTCCACATTAGAAGTTGGCTCACTGACAGATCTCAAAATGTAGTTGTTAATAATGAAATGTCAGTGGTAGGGTGTCTTTAGTGGGATCTCACAGGAAATAGTCTTGATCAAGAATAATAGCATATTTAATGATTGCAGCAGTGATTTTCTGTAGTAAAATTGGCAGATGACTCAAAAGACTCTTGGAAAGGGAGAGGTCATCTTACCAGAGTAATATGTACCTTTGGTAAAGCTGGAGACACTTAAAAACAAGAGCTAATTGACAAAAAAAAAAAAAAAAAGTGGGAAGAAAGCCTGTGGGTTGTATTTCAAGGTGGGAGATTCTGCACAGAAAAGCAGTGGTTTAGAGGAAGAGTTAGGTATTTTGTGTAGTACGAGTTCTTAGGCATTTTTCCCCCAGAGCATTATCCTAAGATAGATTCTGTACATTTGAAAAGGGACACGGCAAGTAGAAATCTGGAAGTATTCATGCAGCACCGATAAAACTGTTTCTAAAATGTCCAGTTCTGGTGTGCACATGTCAAGATGGATCTGGAAACAACAGAGTGAATTCAGAAGTTAATGCTGAACAGACTGTCTGTGGGTTCTGCTTGTAGTATGAGGTTTAAACTGAAGGCAAGTCTTAAAAGTGACCTTAAACCCTGTCCAAACCTCTTCATGCCCAAGGAAGAGGTTTGATAGGGGGCTAGGCAGTGCTGCAATTTGGTATTAAATAATTGACCTCAGAAAAAAACAGGATTCTTAGAACTAAGGAGGATTAAATGTTTGCTATTAACATAGGAGAAACACTGGATTCAGCATTGCTTGAGCAGAGGCAAGATAGCTTTAACCCACGCCCTTGTGTTCCAGTCTGGCACTGGTTAAGTTGTGGGGCTTTGCTGTTGCGTAGACACATAGGGTTGCAAAATCAAAGAAAGAAGGTATGTATGTGACACATCTAGCTATATGATATACAGATATATATCAAATATATAGATGTGTGTGAATATATATTTTTATATATTTATACACACACACGCACACATATTATATATTCTTTTTGTCTGGTATTTCAGTTTGTGGATCTTGTAGTCTTTCCTTTCCTTTCCCAGCCCTGCAGATGTTCAGAGCATTTGCAACTCAGGAAGTATTTATTTTTCCCCCCAGGAAATATATTAGTTTCCAGAGTCTTTTTAAACTGTGTGTGAAGCATGCTGAGGACAGAATGGTGAAAAAGCGCCTTGGTGCTCTAAGGTCGCACAGAAAGTCCTTTGCGCAGCCAGACTGGTGCATCTTGCTCTCAGGCTCAGGGTCAGCAGGGATTTGGAATTGGGAAGAATTTCCTCTCAAGAGAGAATGATGGAGAAAAGATTTCATAGGATATGCAAGAAATGTATCTTACCTGTTAATGTAGCTGACAGGGATATTAATTATATGCCCCCACACTTTTTTTCCTGTATGTCTGTTTGTGGCACAGAGTTTAAGATTTCTGAGATTTGAAAAAGCCTGTGTTGCTTAAGACTTTAGGTTTGTTAAAGAGCACTTGGGTAATCTCCAGTTGTTTGTAGTATAAAGGCATCATATCTGATGACCTGAGGTCCCTCTCCTATGAAATCCAAGTAGTGCCTTTTTGCTTGTATTTCCTCCCTTTTCCATCCACAGATGGACAGAGATGCTTCATTCTAGCATGTGAAGTCATGGGAGAAAGACTGGCAGATCTTTATACCACTGAGGACTAGATCATGATACATCTTCGTGTCCACACTTATTCCTATTTGTGCTCCTTTACAAGCTAAAAAAAAATTGCTTGGTAAATTGATGATTTTTAAATGCAGACCTTTCCTGCACCAAATGCTGACTTTTTTTTTTTTTCCCCTCACCTTTTTTCCCTAGAAACCAGTTAGGAGGAAGGAACTGAGTTATCCATGACACATGTATGTTGGATGTGACATTCATGAGAAGTCACTAATAATTAGTTTGTTTCTCTAAATGTACTGCATTATATGAAGTCTTTCAAATGGCTGACATAAATTAATTGTTTAGAGTGGTTTAATTTTTTTTTTTAAATGGAAATATTTAACTTTTAAATGATTTTAATTTGAACTTTTTGGTGTGTGAAGCAGTGTATTGATCAAGCTGATAAAAGGACATTAATAATCCTTAGGTGTGGTATAATTGCATGAATTGAAGAAATCTGTGACTGAAAGTTATTTTATTTTTGTTACACATCTTCAAATAGGAATCGACAGAAAGCACTGCATATTGATCCTTTGCAGTTGATAAATACTTTTGCTCCCAGGCCTCATAGTTTCTTATATAACCAACTTTTTTCCAAATACTTTATTTGTTCTACTTATAAATCATTTTTTATGTTGGAAGATACTTTTTTTTTTTGCATTTTTATGGCTTTGTGTTCACAAAACATAGATGGGAGTTTCATTAAGAAGTAAAAGATTTATCTTTATAATTGTAATTTAGTTTATATGGAATAAGAGAGCCAAGTTATATATGATTCTTTGCCAAATGAACAGACAACAGACCACAGACTTAATTTTTCTGAATATAATTAAAAAAAATTGGATTTATTTTTGTTTTTAATAGATAGGTTAAATAACCCTAACACTGTAAAGAGTTGATTAAAAATGTAATTATTATGGTTACTGTTTTGTTTAGTGAGAACTACGGTAATTGAAACAGATGTCTATGTTAACAGCATTGGCCCGGTTGACCCAATCAATATGGTAAGTTCTGATTATTGACTGAAAACATTGTCTAAAAGATGCTGTGGGTTAATGTTATGAGGAAATTCTACTCTTGCTCAAATAAGCTTCTTTAATAATTTGTTACTGCGTATACCTGTATGGTTGAATATAAGCATTACGGAAACATTTTAGACTCTGCTTGAAATTGTAATTTTTTTTCTTTGTATTTCTTCAGAAAAATTGCAGCACTGTGAGTGCACTGTATCAGGTCCTTATTTTGGTTCATGTTGAACATTGTCACTATGCTTGTTTACACTTGCTTTATCTCTGGCCCAGTATATAGTTTTTCCTAGACCTGCTCTTCAGAGATTAAGAAAAATAGCAATTGACCTCATGTTTGTGAAAAGAGCTATTTTCAGTGTAGTCATTCTTTTATTAGTTTGTAGGAAACAAAATTTGAAATTATCACTTTTGATCTCTTTTTTCCATCTCATATTTAGTCTTAGGGGGTCCACTTCTGAGAGTACGTGCATTCCTCAGCTGGTTTCTTCAGCAGTGAAGTAGTGCCCCTTCTGATCTCAAAGCAAGCATGTTAATATGCAGGAGTTTGGAATCGGACCCATCTATTTGGCACAAATATTGAAGTAACAGCACTTAAAATGAAGCTGAGTCTCCGACGTTTTCTTGAATTACTTAAATTATTTTCTGTAAAAAAAAGTGCAGTGTCTGAAACAGTGGTGTTGAAGGCTTTACAAAGTCTTTGTTGCATGACTTCTCCTGATGAGTGGTGCCTGGCATTGGCTGCAGCTCCTGCTGAGAGATCACGAGCTGAAGGACTGAGCCTGTGCCTGTGCCTGGGCCTTGAGCTCAGCTCCCTCCTGCCTTTTTCCTTTTCCACCTCCTTCCAGGGGTGCTCGCTTTTGCATGTGTGGCAACTGGGGATTTCTGTCAAATCAGATGCTGAAGTATGACAGAGTAGGTAGCTTCTAAGCATTTAGCAAAGCCACATTAATTCTAAGTGATTATTAAGGATCTTGTGATTTGCACATAATGTGTCATCAAGCTCATTGTGAATATAAACTTTCTGATGTGGAACCAAACAGAAAAGGCCTGTGGCACTTAGATACTAGGGATTATGGCACTGAAAGTAGATGATACTGATATGTGGCAAGGGATATTCAGTGTAACAGTCTAACGAGCCTGGGGTTATCATTAGCAGCGGCTGTGGCAGGGGAGCCCACAGGTCTGGCCAGCACACTATGTAAAGAACTGAAAGAAGGAGCAGAAGAGCAAAGCATTGGGGGAAACTTTTCCCTTGTCCCTATCCAGTATAAATGTTTTCTGCGGTTCCATCTGTCTTCCTGTTGCAGTCTTGCTCTTTCTGTCCATCCTCTCCTCTTCTGAAGGGATTTGTTGTGGGAACAAATTGCACAGACAGGCAGCGACTTATAAGGCATAGAAGGCTTCCTCTGCTGATGACCCATGTCAGTGGGTCAACCTAGCACCTGCTAGGTCCTGCATGCCCTGGGACTGAAAACGGGAAGTGCTTAGAGCTCTAGTTAGAGCTCCTGATTTCTGTGAAAATACATAGTAACAATGAAGCATGTCACCACAGGATAATAAGGTAAATCCCATTGACACATGGAACTTTAAGAAGTATTCTATGTTTTTTAAAAGTTGGTAGAGAACTACTTAGCAATCTAACTTATAGTCTCAGGGCACTGTGGCCTCTAAAAAGGAGCAATTGCTTTCACTGGGCTTGGACACCAGGAACGTGGATCGTATGAACATCTAATATCACCACAGAAATGATAATTCTGTGAAAATAAATAAAGCCATATATATGCAAATAATTTTATTAAAGCTTCCAACAGAGATGTTTTTAATCTAGGAAACAACATTCTCAGCAAAAAATAATTACAGATTTGACTCTGTAAGCTCTGCTTGTGTGAGCTGTCTCATTGTGCATACATTTTCCCTGGAGTCAGTACTGTTTGAGGTTGCTAACCAAAATTCCAAAAATTACTTTCATCTTAAGGGCTGTCCTTAGCCTTTCACTTTGTCACTTTACTTGACAACACATATATGATTCCCCATTGGATTATTCATTTGGCACATATTTTAATTCATTCTGGCACAGGATGTCCTTTTATTGTTTAGTTTGTGCCAGTGGCATGATGTAGATTTTTTTTTTTTTTTCTGGATACAATTTGCTGTTGAAGCTCAGGGAGGCTTTAGAAGACACTCATTATGAGAGAAAACTGATTTATTTTATAATTTCAGTCTATTTTCCTCCTGCTATCTGATGGAGTCTTTTATACTTTCATAAAAGGGAGGCTTGAAGTGTACGTGTGACATTCATTAGAATTTGCCTTTGAAGGCTGCTGGGTTTTGGCTTTCAGTATTTAATTTAACAAAGATCTACCTAATATTCTAAACGATATAGACATCTCATGCATAAAAGATGCTTTCCTACAGCATGTGATCTCTCTGTGTACCCACAATTACCAGGTGTCTGAGTAAACATTTTTAACAAGCGTCCGGATCAGCAAAGTATTTAGACTCCGAATACTCATTAAGCCTACAGATTTTTCAATCTGTCCTTTAGAGCTAGCCGTGTTAGGCATCATGCAGCAGCCATATAAACTATGGCTAAGTGTGTTTTTTATGGCCAAAGCCTTGATCCCCAAGAGCTCCGGAGTGGTGTGGGGTTCTCTTTGTGGAATTCAGACCTGCGATAAATATTAGAGCCGCATATTCATCTCTGTGAGACTTAATGTAGATGCGCAAGGCTACCATTCTCTTTCCTTCCAGCCTAGGATGGAGGTAAAAAAGGCACTCTATGTTTGATGGTATGAGTAGCACAGTCCGATGTCTCTCCCCGTGTAGAAACGTTGTATGTTGATCCATGTTGTCTGTGGGCCTAATTAGCTTTCTCTGCCTTGTATTTGTTTCTTCAAAGAATACTGTTTTGTGTTATCCGTGCCCCAAGGTGTCCAAGGGATGTAGATTTCCCCTGCTACTGCCACAGTAGAATTGTGTCAGTACCTCAGGTTTGTGGTTTGACGAGACCATGCAAATGTGTAATTCAGTGGGTTGAGAGAGGCATGACAGCCCGCCAAAACATTTATACTTTCCTTTAACTAAGACAATACCTGATCTTGTAAAACTGATAGAATACTAGATCTTGTAATCTCTATTTGCTCAAAAGTCTAATTACAATGAAAGACTGCTGTCCCAAATGGGAGAAATCTGTGCGGAAAGAATACTGGATCAGTTCCTTAAGTAAGAAATAGTAGTACATTATTTTGTCAAAAATGAAGAAGAGCAAAGAGAAAAGTTTATACTTTTCCTACCCTTAAAGTCTATTTAATCGAGTTTCATATAGTAAACAATGCAGAAATACTCAAATAACAGGGAATGAAGAAAGAGTTAAAGAGGCAGATCATTTCAATAAAGATATGTGGGCATCATGATTGGTAGATAGATAAATAGCCAAATGACAGTGCTCTATCTGTCTGTCTATTTCTTTTTCTGTTTATATCTGTCTATCTATCTGTTATGTATTTTTAAGTAATAATTTAACATTTTGGAACATTATGGTATCATTGCCATTTTAGTGTGTCTGGGGAGGGATACATGTGTTTTTATTCTCTGGATATGTATGTCAGTGATGCTTTTTACTTGGCTTTTGTATTTGTTAATGGAACTCCAGACTGAAATTTCTAGGAAAAATTCCTATGACTGCACTACACTGCAGCGGTTTGGTTCCCCTGTTATTTCCAACGTTTCTGTTTCTTCTGCAGATGCTGTAGCTTCTGCCATGTGATCTTTGCTAGTTCTCCATTGAAGGCTACTGTGACAGCAAGCTGAAGGCTATACTTTGAAGCCTAGCACTATTATTTTTAATAAGGTAGCCAAACCACTAAGTCAGACGTTCACAGAACGCACGACATGCTGCTTCAGTACGCATACTGCGTGACCTGGACACTGTTGGGGTACTATTTTTCCTGTTGTACTCTACCATTTATGACTTTGATGAATGGAATGTGCCATTCATAATGATCCCCAGAGTTGTATTATCTGAAGGTACTCTGAAATCCAGTGCTGAATGACGCAAGCTCTAGCGTTTTGTAAATCAACGTACGTATCGCTCTGTTTTTGAATGATATTGTGTCCTATTAATGAATAAATAGTAAGTGGGAGATGAGGCTTAGAAAGACACAGAAATAGATACTGGAATTAGCAAGGCGGCCATGATCCCGCACACGCTGAGGCGCGTACTTCAGTTTACGTGTGCGTTGTGTTCCACTGGTGTAAGGATTTAACAAACAAAAATCCAGAACAAGAAGTGCATAAAAGGAAAAACGAATATGCACAAAGGAAACTTTTCTGTTTTAGAGAGCTGTGTTTCTAAGGGAACACAGAATCTAGCTCTGTGTAAGACCCACAAACGTAAACCCGCACTGCTACCCAAGTGCTGCAGTATACAGTAGTATTTTGGGACTGGGAGCGCGCTGCTCGACAGGGATTGTCCTGGTTTGTGAACTGCATTTGAAGCTTTTCGTGGAGGCCGGAATTCCTTTCCTTTCTGAGGAGGAAAGTACTGTTGTCTGTATGAGCTTAATGATGACATAGGTGAGAGGAAGATCATGATGCCCTTCTGCTTGTGCTCGAGAATTTATGAGGTTTCCTAAGGTTATATGGGTCTCGCATGCAAGCACTGCACGTTTTTGGAGAGTCCAGTGTGTGTATTTTACGCAGACTGGTTCCAATCTTCTTCACACAGCGGGAATACTTGCTGGTAAATGAGGAAAGAAGAACCAACCAGTTCTTGTATATTACCTGTTTCTTAGTGTACAAAGTCTTTTTTGGATTGAGCTAGACTAAAATGTTCTTTTTTTCGAATTACTCTCTTATTTTTATTAGGAGAGATAGATACCAATTATTTTGGTGCCTGTCAGTACTGAGAGTAATCAGGGTAATTGATTAGTATCAGATGAGTATTTGAGATTGGTGGTCACAGTGTTCATTTACAG